AAACTACTATAGCTATGTAAACCAAACCCTATACAGTCGTTTCCTTCAGGCAATTCCATATACAGTTCAAAAATGGAAGAAATCGGATAAAAACCACACCTACCTCCCATACAAAGGTTATGTTGAAAATCACTAAAAGTGCGTTAACCGACTAACAARAAACGTCAGAAACACTAAATTTTACGGAAGTAATGGCTACACCCAGGCTTTGTTTTTAATTTAAAATGGGCGTGGCGTCGCCGACTTAGGGACCAAAAAAGATATCTCAGGAACTACTCGACCGATTTCAATGAAATTCGGTACTTTGAATTCCATCTGATGCCTTCTCTGTATAATATATACATTAGGAACCAATGATGATAGCGGAATAAAACTTTACACAATTACGGTATTTGATGCGAGAGTATAAAATGTTCGGTGACACCCGAAGTTAGCGCTTCCTTAATTGTTTTGTTCCAGTTTTCACCAACGCTTTACGTATTTCAACGGTTCATCCATATCAAAATTAGTTCCCATAGTTACGACATTCACCGCTTAAAAAATTAGCAAAAAACATGTTTTACTCTTTTCTTCCTTGTATAAAAATTAATTATTATATAACAAGTAAAAAATGCTAAGGCCGTCAATAACTGAAGATTTTTTACTTTCGCGATTTGTAAGCCTCAAATCTGGGAAATAATTTCAAGAGAAAGTTTATATTAAATAATTTTTCGTAAGAATTTAGGCAAGAAGACAAAATTGAGAATAGATTACAATCACAATTGACGTCATATTAATTTATACTAGAAAACCTATAAATATAGTACGCTTTTCTTTTTAGTACCAGACGAGGACACAATGAAATAGATACTGAATTATCAAAATTAGTTGACTTCTTACGTTTGTAAAAATGTTTCTTTATTCACGTATTATGCGAAGAACCCGTCTATTGCTTGCGCTGATGTAGAGGTCATTATCAGAGGAGGATTCCGCTTTAATTACGTATGTAACTATAATGAGATATTATGTGTTTACTTCCGAGATATACATGGTAACATCCGATTTTCATTAAGATACCTAAATAACTGATCGATATATACCTAAAGTTAACAGGACCTGATTGATATTGAACTCATTTCATTAAGATACCCCATAGATGGACTGATATAAAATCAAATCTAAGATTGAAAATCACTATAACAGATATATGGGACTTGAGGAAATGTTAACCTGATTTTATCCATTTTTGACATCACGGTATATAATTACCAAAACAAAGTGTATCTGAATTTCATTAAAACACCTTACAAATTGATTGGCCGGTATATCTTATGCAATATGTACAACAAAAGCAAATTATTATCAAAGAGGTTTACCGATGTATTGGGTAAAAAGTTGGACAAACCACACATTTGTTATTTTGGAAGTGATAAGACACAATTTAGTCAAGATTTGACTCCCATATCTACATTCGAGCTTGATTTATACACTGTATATGAGTACATAATTACATATATTGAAATAATGACTCACTATAAATAGTTTTTGAGTTATAGGACTACACATAAAAACCAAAATACACTTAATTTGTAGTTTTACTATGAAGTTTATAGGTTTTCGAAATGTTTCTATTTCGCCCATCTGCGATACGATCCTCTTTAAGCCCATGAGTGAGGACGGACAGAATCCAACTCATATCATCGTGCTAATAATTTAAATAAATCAATTAGTTTTGGGTGTTAAAACAACCGTTAGGTGAACCAAACTAAAGAACATGTAGCATGTTGCGAGAATATAAAAGTAAATGTTTGTTTAAAAAATCTTCCCATACTGGAACTACTGTTCAAATCTAAAAAACTTAAATTTAATATCATTGGTTTTAAATAACTTACAATATTCTAAACCAAGTATTGTGTCACGAAAAATACTCCAAGCTTTATCCTCAGGTAACGGCGAATCTGTTGGGATGGTCAAAACACATCCCTGTTTTACTAGTTCAAAAACCATATATAAGGAGTCTTCCAATGGATCATCTAACACTTCGAACAACTTTACAACGTTTGGATGATCTAATTTCTTTAGCACGGCAATTTCTCTATAAACTCTCTCTAATGGTGAAATTGGTTTAATTATGCCACGCTTTGCCAATCCGGCTTGTCTTATTAATCGACGTTTAGAGAGAATTTTCATTGCGTAATGGGTTGAGTCCTCTTCAGAGTAAGCCAGTTTAACTAGCCCATATGAACCCTATAAATAAATTTAAAATATATCAAATATATTCTGAATTAACTTATATTGAACATAAGTGACTTATTCAATTAAATAGGTTTTCTAAAATTTAAATTTACTCTCCTAATGTAAATAATACATATAATATATACAGGTTTTTTGGTACAATAAATGTAATTTATACGAGTATAATTATATTCAATGGAAATGCAAGGAAACTTAAAAACGCGAAAATCTTTTAGATTTTTTTAAACGCAATACTAAAAAGAAGATCCATTCCATATGTAGTAAATAAAGTAACATTACTTTATATAAGAGAAGGGAAAAATGACGAGGTATACTATATGTACAGTACGGCAAGAAAGTATTTTGACAAGTGAAATATAGCGCTCTAATGGTTTTTTAGTTCGTTAAATTAGTTTTTTGATAAAATATCTATCTGAGTTTATTATATACAGTTATACATAACATTTAAAATGATGTACAAAAGGAAACATATAAAATTCATTAAACATGGTACATTGGAAACGCCAAAATTTAAGTACATTAAAAATTTAATATGTCAAGAAGGAGTTTTGACATTGCACTTTAATAAAAGAAAAAGTGAAACAAAAAACAAAGCTAATTAATTTTTTGAGAGGCCTCCTTTTGTAGGGTTTTCATTGAGTGAATTAGTTTCTCTGCGGCGTAGTTATTGGGACTTTTCGCTACTCTTCCGATAGCTTTGCCCGATTCTTTGGACTCTGTTGAGATACTCTTGTTTTAAAATACACTCACAAATTTTCGATGAGGTTCATGTTTGGTAAAATTTAAAGCGAGTTTAGGTGAAGAATCCTGCATTCTTCACATGCTACCATTTATTCAAAATAGTGTACCGAAATGCATGGTATTTTTAAATGAAATCTTATGGGGATTTGRTAAAAGCATATTCAAGAAGATTACACATGTTGCTTGGAAATCAATCAATCAGGTCAGAATTCTTCAGTTTATCGCAATATACATGCGCTATTGAAATATAAGGACCAGTTTTTAGTTTGAGCAAATACAAACGAATGCAAGATGCTCGTTTCATTGAATTACCTAACTGCGTAGGATACGTGGATGGTACCGATATTTTATTGACGGAAAAAACGTGTGCATTCATAGATTGCAAATAAGACACTTGGTGTTAGGCCTTCCTGGTAGCGTTCCCGARGGACGTATTTTTAATAATTGCGAATTATCGAATGGATGGTGACAGTGCATATAAATTATATTTTAATGCCATTTAGAAAGAATCCAAAAATTTAAGCCAGAGTAAAGGAATTTTATTAACAACGTATTCAGTCGATATTGAAACTGTTAAGGAATGCTGAAAGAAAGATTTGGTAGTTTAAGGGGGTTTTCTACTCTAGAATTTTGAAAAATTCGATTCGATCATATATTTAAAGTTTAGACCCTTAAGAACATATCCTCCAAAGGATTTTTAAAAATTAAAATTATTTTAAGAGCTAAAGTTACTTTAGTGACGTAGTACCTAGCCCGGTGAAACAATCATAGAAAGAGACGAATTGGAAAAAATGGAACAAATTATCATATTTTGGCAACTTATGAGCTATTAAATCTTTTCAATCTATCGTGTTCCAATCTTATTTTTCCCCCACTTCTACTTCCATTTCTTTTCTAAACGTTATTTCTGCTGTTGTTCACTCGACTATAATCGAGTAAGCGGTGTATACACCAGTAAAGCAGCAGAATTTCTGCAATTGGAAATTTTTTCCTCTCTCACCTTTTCAAATTCTAGGTTTTTCGTTTATAATTTTAACTTCTTTCTTTGGATTTCGAACAGTAAAGCAAAATAATTATAACTTCTGTGCGATCCTTAAGGATTTCTGGCTGGTGTAGATATGCATGTATCTAATGCGAAATTGGCAAACGGGCTAACAAACTCATTTGCAGACAGTAGTATCTTGGAACTAAATTTTATGTATATTTGTATATGTATATTGTCGAACGCTGATACCGACTCTGTTGACTGATAAATGTCTGGTGGCTGAACACTTACGGGATGGCCAAATACTACGTGCAGGTCTTCATAAAAAGGACCTATTCTTTTTATGTATTCTGCGACACTATAAGGATCGCCACTTTCAAGTTGTTCCTCACGAGTCCACTTGAGCGTGGATAAAAAATTCGTTTTTAATTTTAGTCCTCATAATATCCCATTTGATGTTTTTTAAATTTGGAGTATTTTTAAATGAGCTAAACCTCCCCTACCATACTACCATATTTGGGAAAAACTGGCGCTATAACACACAACACCTGAAAACCCCACCACACTCAACAAGATTTCACCACCCAACGACACCTCACACTACTAAACAACAAAAAGGATGATTACCACACATCGAACGTGACAAAAAAGGAATTAAATTACGGACATTCCGTTTACAACAACCGTCCCGCGCGCTACAGTAAGCTTTTCGACAACAGCGATCTGGCGCTCTATATAAGTATATACGCTCGTTTAAGTTGGTTAACCAAATAATTCAACCATTTAATTTTAATACTTTCTTAATAAATTATATTGTATATTATACCACTCAAGTGTACCCGGTGCATTTATTTCAAATGTGCGTGACAACCTTTTAAAAAAGAGTAAAAAATAGAGATACATACATACATATGTATCTACTTGTTACGAAAATATTCTTCTCTCCTTCAAAGAAAGACACTATTGAGAAAAAAAAATTTAATAAATCCAAACAAGCAAAGAATTAGAGGGCGGTGAGCACAAAAAAAAGTTATATTAATATACACCGAAATATGTATGTGACGCATGAAATTCTGTTACAAAAAAGTAATAATAATAAACCAGTTTAAAAATCGGCCAACAGAGCAGTTAACAAAACAAAAAAAAAAATTAAAAAAAAAACAATCGTGCAATTACCAAAACAATAAAACAAAACCTATATATACAAAACCTATATATAATATGTAGAGTGATAAAAAATATTTCTCCCACATAAAAAGATTATACAGATAATAGATTGTGTTGCAAAAACCGAAAAAAGGTTAAGCGGGGGAAACAAATTCCTTCAAAAATAATATTTGCACAAATATCAAAATGGGCGCTTTTAATGATAGTGCAATAATCGGGTGCGAAAACAACAAAAAATTAATTTAAACAAAAAAAAACACAAAATCAAAATTTAATAATAAATAAATACAATAAAAAAAGGTAAGGAAACTAACATTGGCAACAAACACAACAAGATGCAGAAGGAGCAAAATGGAGAGGAAAYGGATCACACGGATCGGCATATCGCTCCATCTTAATTGCAGTAACAGACCTTAGCACAAAGTGAGTTGTATCGACTCCACTTTTAATTTCAAAATTAAATTATCATATATGTAAGAAGGTTAACATTTACAGTTCATATCTATAAAAACTGTAATGAATACGGTTAACTTTTTAAGACAACGGTTGTTTGAAAACAGTTTCAACTTACGGTTAATATCCGGGAAACTGAAAAACACATTGGTACACTATATGTATATGTACCTCCAATTATATGTATGAACAGTATATACTTTAATATATAATTATATATATATTGGCATATACATTTCTAAGAAAGAATGGCCTACTTACACTTGTTTATCCAAACACACAAATTTAATAAAAAAAGAATTTTTCAAGCCTACTCTTGACCACACTTTCCGGCAATACCCCTCCCTTAAGCTCCAAAAGTATAAACCGGATTGCGCAAATAGTAAACTTGGGCAAATTCGAAAAGTAAAAGCAAAAAACGAAAGAACAAAAACAACATACAAGGTGCTTTCCAAAGTAAACAGGACTTTTTGAATCTAGCGCCCCTGGTGGCGCAATCTATACGTCGACTGCTGCGTTAGAATCTGCTATCTTTATTTATCTTACCGATTGACAGTGAGAATTTCATGACATTTCATCGATTGGAAGTAAAGTTATTGCGTTTTAAGTGTCAGTATGTTTGTGTTATCGGTGCGAAAATGAGCTTCAAACAAAGAGCAAACATTAAATTTTGTTTTAAAATTGGTAAAACTGTTACCGAAACGTTTCAATTGATTAAACAAGTTTATGGCGATGATTGAATATTAGCAGATAGCATTAAATGATTACCAGAGTGCMCGAGTGGTTTCAAAGTTTTCAAAGCTGTCGTGAGGATATAAATGTCGATCAACATGAGGGCCAATCAAAATCCGTGATCACCGCAAATTCAATCGAAACTATGCGTGAATTCGTCAAAAATCAGCCGAAATCATCATTGAAATTCATGGAAATGGAATTGAGCATCTCCAATACAGGGTGGCTGATGAAAGCCGCTACCAAAAAAAATTAAATAACTTTTTTTCTATTTGGTGAATCTGGTTAATTTTTTTTATTTATTTTGCAGATTGACTTTCACATTTAACAAAAATGGATAACTAGGACACTGAAACAAGAATTTGGATTGTCCGCCGCTATCACGCACTGAAGTCCGTAGTTTCGGTTCAAAGAGAGTGTTTGGCGGCAATCCTCCGAGCACATGGACCATAACGAGACTTGTAAACAATTTTGCCGAGCATGGGACAGTCAACAGAAGACCTTACCATCGAAACCCTTCAGTTCGAAAGGAGGAAACAATCGTTGCTGTAGCTGATGCCATACAAAACAATCCATGTGTTTCGACAAGAAGCTTATCTGCTCAACTGGGTGTAAGCAGACAGTCATTACAGTCAATTATGCACAAAGATTTGGACTTATTCGCATATAAAATTGGCCAATAATGGCCAACAAACTGAACGCTGCAGACTTGCCGATTCGCTTGGAATTTTGCCAGAAGATGCTCCAATGGTGGTTTAAATTCCATTATTTTTAAAACTAATTAAGCTATATTTAATAAAATTGAATGAGCTTTAACATGAATAAAAGAAAAATTAATTCCATACACTGAAAACAAACTTTTTTGAGTTTCTAAATGTAGCAAAATTCGTCAGCCACCCTGCACATAGATTTT